TGCAGATCTTATATTTGATCCACCGATGGTCTCCAAAAACTATTAATGAAACGAAAAATAATTTTACAATGTCTATGTAGTTCCAATAATATTTTTACTCGCTTTTAAGTTATTTTTCATTATTCATCTCAAACCATTTAGACATATCTGGTTATCTCCCTGAGAGTTAACTCAAATTAGACTGAGGGATATCCTTGCTCTTACTAAATGCTCTTGACTTATCCGAAAGTGTTACGATACTTCTCCACATATTCTATTTTCATAGACCTGCCAGATTAAACGAAGGATTCAGTTGGCCTCTTGTGTTCTGTTCATCACCAAATCTTTAAATTTAAGCCTTTCTGGTCGTCTTTCAGGAACTCTGCCTGGTCAAGGAGGAGCACGCTGAACTCAAGGCGCGTGCATACCTTTTGGAAAAGGAATTACAGGCCACCTGGCTATGTTTGCAGCATCGAGTCTCAGTGGACCATGCCATGCGGGTTCAACTTGACAGTCTGGCCTTACTTGCTCTTCCCAGTGATCATCAGTCTCATTGCCTGGTTGGCGAAACGACATCTACAGCCACAAAGCGCAAGTGCAGACAGCGATGTAGTAGGAAAACAAATGACTTGAGGACGGAAAGGGTTGACAAAGAGTCGAATGGACCGTTGTTTGATTCATCACAACCGGAGTTGGATGGTTTCGGACTGATGATGGCAGCTCATGAGACGGATCGACATATGTCTAACAAGGAAGCTGTTGCTACAACGAATTATGTTAGTATTAGGGGCTCTGGTCAATCATGTATTTGCTCAGATGCAGTTCAGACGATACCAGATATTGAAAGAATGGATGAAAGGCTTAGCAAAGCCTCAGTACTTCCCGCTTCCTACGACCATACCAGTAGCTCTGACAGTGGAAGCTCTGCAGAATCGAGGCGTAGCCACGATTCGGCCTCTTCTCGACAGCAGATACCTCATAGGTCGTCTAAAGGCGACATGGCGGCTTTACGTGAACAGGTCGTGGTAAGCAGTACTTTGAACATTTTTATAATAGAAGGGCTGATTTTGCGGCTAATTCGCCTACCTGAGAATTAGCTCAAATCAAATCTAGAAGTATCCTAACTCTTGGTCCAACTAATTATATACCAATATTACCTTTATCAGTATGATCAGTAAGGATAGGGATGAGTCCTAGTACCCATAAGATTAAGT